AAGCTATAAAAATAATTAAAACGCTTAGATTAAAAACCTATATCACCCCCTACCTCACAAGAGGATTGTTCCTCTTGAATCCAAAGCAAACAAAGGAATTTTACAATTTCCTTCAAGGGTTATATAGAGGAAGGTGAGGCAAGTGTTTTATGTTCCAAGCGTTTAGGTCTAACGTGAGTGGAAGGAGATCAAAACCAAGGTTTTAAGCCTAGGTTAATGGTTTCCTTCAATGGTGGTTAGGGTTCCAAGTGAGGAAGAAGAAATTTAATGTGTAAAATGAAATAATTAAAACACTTAAGTGTATTCTTCCACTCACTTGGTCAATGGAAGTCAAACACACCTAGTCTTGCACCATCCCCTCACACACACAAAAGCTAGAATTTAATTAGAAACATACACTTGTCATTAATCCCATGGTTCATTCTAGGCTTAATCTAAAGCTTACACTTGTCAACAATCCAAGCCAACAAGTGCACCATTGTTAGGCCAACAAGTGGGTGAATCTCCACCCTCCACATGTCATCATCCAAGGCTTTCAAGTGTTAACTAATAAGATGCTTACAAGTGGACCAATGAGAATGCGACACTTGTCACACTTTCCAGTAATTGCAAAAAGGTCCTTTTCGAAAATATCTTTCAAAATAAATTACAAAAAAATTCCTAAAAGAAAAATAATTTTTTTCTATAATTACGAAAAAACCCCAAAAACAAATAATGTTTCCTAAGAAACTATGCATCCATGCCCTTTTACGTAAAAGTAAACAACTAGTATACTTTTCTAGAAAAGTAAAAATACACAAGGCATGCAATTTAAACATCATGGATGCATGCAAAATCGAAACCAAATCCGAGCACAAAAAGTGAGGTTACACGAAGAAAATCATTCTCGAGAAAAAAACGAAAAGTGAATAGTGTCAAAAAAATGAAAATGTGGAAATGACTCGGTCCTTAAAGGAAGTTGTCAATCCAAAGAAAAAAGTCTCAAAAATCATTTTCGAGCACTCGAAATGACACTAAGTGATGAGTAACCGAACTCAGAAAAGAAAATTCAACGGAAAAAATTTATTCGTAAAATTTCAGAAAAAGGAAAGGAAGTAAAATGACCGGGTCATTACAATCTGGGTGCTACCGAGCATACTATTGGAAAGACAGTGAAAAATTAATCAAGTTAGACTCAAGAATCACTTAATTTGGAGTTCGGATGGAAGAAAAAAGTCAAAACAAAGTTTTGACGTCGCCGAGGCCGTGAATAGTATTTTGACAGCAATGAATAGTAACCTAGGCAAAACACTGAAGTTCGTGCGCCGTTTTAAGGTATTAAACGATATTTTCTGGAAAAAAAACACGAAGAAGAAACCCCCCTTAAAATAATTTTTTCAAGCTGATCGTGTCAGAAGAAAATTTTATTTTTGACGTGAAATTCCCAAAATGCCCTTACAACAGACTTTTTCAAATAGTGCAGGTGCGCACAGGAAATCAGATTTGACGCGGGGCTTTCGGGTCCGAGATGACATTTTCTAGAAAAATGTTATGAAGAAACCCCCCCTAAAATCACGTTTTCTATGTGACCATATCAAGATTAGAATCTTGTTTTCAAAGGAAATTCCCAAAATGCCCTTAGATCAGTTTAGGCCAAGAGGGTTAAAAAGCTGCTACATGAATGGTAGAAAACTGAACTTTGTAAGGGATTTTCAGTACTAAGACGACATTTTATGAAAAACACAAAGAAGAAACCTCCCCTAAAATCACGTTTTCTACCCGACCATGTCAAAAGAAGAAAAAAAAAACGCGCTGTGAAATGCCCAGAACGCCCCTGATCAGTCTAGGACAAAAACAAGGAAAATGCAACTTTGCACCAAGAGTTCATTTGACCCTAAATGCATTTCAGGGCATTAATGGTATTTGAGTTTGGGTGGACTTTTGACCCATTTTAGGCCATTCATTTTGAGAAGAAATTGGCCAACCTTATAGTACATTTTCATTTCCTCTCCCTCACTTTCGGCCACACTCTCTCCCTTATCCATTTCACTTTCTCTCTCTAAAATCTCAAGCTTCTCTTTAAGATTTGAGATAGCTAAAGTAAGATTTAGGTGGGGAGCAAGGAAGAAATATTGTTCTACTCTTCAAGGTCTACAATTCTTTACTGGTCTTGCATGTATTTAGGGATTTTTGAGCTTGGGAGCTGGGGGCTTTGGGTTGTATCTTTGAGGTAAGGATGTTTAAAGTACCATGCTTTATCTCTTGTTTGAGTTTCTTTTCTTAATTCCATGTTTTACTTGCTTTAAATGTTAAATTTTTTACAACTCTTTGAAAAACAGATGCAACCCTTTAGAAATAGATGCAACCTTTTGAAAAAAAAAAAAAAAAAAAAAAACTAACTTTTAATTTAAATTAAAAAACTAACTACCCCTTTAAATAAGCCCAGCCCAAAATTAAAGGCCCAATCCAAGATTCCATTTAGTAAAAAGAATAATTGGACTTTACAATTAGGCCCAAGCCCAAATTTGGCTTATTTAACTATTCTTTGTTTGTTGATTCAAAGGAGCCCAAAGCTAATGCTTTAGGCATCCCCTACTAAGCCGTCGTGCTCACCCCATATTTATCATTTTCAGGACATGGCAAAGATATTATAGACGACGCCCCCTCACAAGCTTAGCAGTGTAGAATAGATTTTTAATTTTTTTGTAATAAACTACTACGAACAATGATTTTGTAATGTAATTATATTCTTTTGTGAGCTTCAAGCGAAGCCTTTGTAATTATGGCCATAGAGGCCTCATCATCTTGTAAACATATTCTTTTGCACTTATATAAATGTTTCAAAGATGCATGAATGATGATATTTGTAGATTTTATGAAACGTCTAAGGGTTGATGATGTTCATGGAGTTTTAATTTCATGTTTAGGTGTTTGGGAATTGCATTTGATTGGGTTTGGGAAGCAAGAATTTCGTTAGATTTATCTGTGGGCATCATCTAATCGGTTAGATAGGAACACCTAATCGGTTAGATGAATGGGCAGTGTGTTGGTTTGATAGGAATTTGGGTGTTCTACTACCCGGGTAGGAGATTTCTTGTACTCGGTTAGATGTGTGGGGCAGAGAAGGGGTTGGATAATTTTCATTATCTAACCGGTAAGATAGAGTTTCCTAATTGGTTAGACATGATTGTTTTTATGATTTTTCCGTGGGCCATTCATGTAACCGGGTAGAAGAAATCTCCTAACCGATTAGATGTGATCTGAAAACTTATAAGTCTACTGGACCATTCATTTACCCGGTTAGGAGAAATCTTTTAACCGGTTAGATGAACTACCATTTTCACAAGGACTTCATATTTCAATATAGTTACCCAATGACCCCTAGACCCCAACCAAAGTGCAGAATGACCCTAGAAAATGACAAAATTCCCCCTGAAGGGTGTGAATGTTGCATTTTGACCAAAAAATAACTATTTTGCCCCTAAGGGCTTTTATATCACCATTTGAATACGGTAAAAGTCCATTTTACCCTTTTGGGCTTAATATTATTATTTGACCATGCAAAAAGACCATTATACCCCTATGAACTCTAAGAGTGTTAGAATGACGTGGCATGGCTACAAGGCCTCCGGACTTCATTTAATTCATAGAATGACCCTAGTAAATGACGGTTTTACCCTTAGTGGACCTTAAATCATTAAGATTAATGTGGAATGACCATAGTACCCCTATATCACCTCGGGTCTGGGTAGGACCCGGTTAGCAATCCAGACCCCCGGGTTTGAGTCGTTACAACGACTTCCAACGGGAGCGCAACTGGTTGCGCTTGAAGTAAATATTGTTCTGGAACTCACTACCCAAGTGGAATCGGTTGTAATCCGCCAGTAGCCAAAAAAAAAAAAAAAAAACATAGCGCGGAACTGGTTGCGATATGACAGTACCCAAAACAACATCAGAAAATCAGCAAATTTGACAGCTAAAAGTTCTTCATGTAATCACAACAGGTGATCAGACTTCACAAACCACAACAAAGGTCGCCTCAGATACTTTTTGCGCTTTGGGATTGCTCTCTTTCTACCGAGATCTTGTACCTTCAACGTCTGCAATGTTAGGGCGCCTAAGGAAGTAAGACTTGAGTTTTTTTTTTTTTTTTTTTCTTTAACCAAGAATGTGAGATTGGCAGATGAATTAAAGGTCCAATGCATGAATCAAATAAAATTACTAAATAAATGGACCTGATGTTATTACATACTAAGAGTACTGCTAGCTGGAACATTTTTGCACTTGTTATGATCGATACATGAGTGTTGTTTGTTTTATCTTTGGTAATTTGTGTATTTTTAATTATTTTTTAATGTAAAATATGTTTTTTGATGGATAAAATAGCCCTTTTAAGCTTTCCAAGGGCATTATCAAATTTTAAGTAAATATTGAGCATGAAATTAATGGACAAAAGTGTAAAAGTTAATGACACTAATCTATCTTTTTTGTCATTAATAAGAAATACACACCCTATTTATACACCTACTTTGTACCTTCCAGGATTCGAACCCTTACCATCTATTTTGTAAGGTAAATGAGATACCATTAAGCTAAAAAGCCCCCTCAAAAAGCTAATCCGCTAAAATTAAGTAACATCACAAGGAAATGTGTCGTTAAAACTTTTCTCCAATCCACTGCTTACGGAACCCTGCATTTGTGTGTCTCTGAACGGGCATCACCAAGTTTGTTTATTTTTTATATTTATTTTTATTTATTTTTCTGTCTTTTAATGAAAAGCGATCAAGGATTAAAACAAATTACGTCGTCTCCAATCCACTACTTATAGAAGCATGCATTTGTGTGACACAATCATTGAACACGAATCACCAAAACAGGAGTTACCAAGAGCTAGGGCTTTTTTTATTTTTACTTTTATTTTTTATGAAAAGCCATCAAGGATTAAAAGAACAGATACCCAGTCCTCCTTAATTGTATGAGAGATCATAGTTGTTGACAGCATAGGAAACAACAGTAGCAGATATTTTAACTTTCAACATTTATAATTATAATAGTTTGATGGTCAGGCTTCTACAATTATTGACTTCTATTACAAGATTAGAAGACTGTTTCTGAAGCTCTAAATGATTAGATATTACCTATGGTGGTAGTATGGCCAAGGGTCCTTCCGCTGTAACTACACACTTCTCATCAAGTGACATACATACATATTACAGTGCTGAAACTGAGCTCTCTCTCTCTCTGTTGTTTCCGGAATTGAGCATAATACCTAAGCCGGTTTCCTCACCTCACATGGCTTTTCTACAAAACAAGAGTCAGGATCGGCCAAGTCACGTGCAGGGTACGAATGATCATGCTTGGTCATTGATGATATGGTTGGAGAGTCGATCATACACATTCCCTGATCGTTCCTCTCCTACTCCAAGGACAGATTGCTGGTTCGAATGTTTCGCTGCTGATGGGTGATTCCTTTACCTAACCGTGAATGGGTTGAGCTCAACTCTGTCAGTTTCCCACTGAAAGGTGAAGCAAGCTTTGGTAGAAGCCACTTCTTCACAACAACACCATTAATTCGGATTTTCCCGTATGATTCATTTCCTAGGTAAGCTAGTCCTAGCCGCCTCAATAATGCTGCAACCGCCTGACTAATCCTGTGGACCAAAATGGATTATTACCAACAATTTAAAGTTGTTAACAAATAGACAGGTCCCAGATATTAACATTAACAATTACATTTGTTATATAAAGGTAAAAATCCCCATAGATTTGGGTATAGGCGGTTTGATATTTTAAAGGTGTGGCTCTAAAAATGCTAATAGGACTTGGCACAAAAAAGGATGAGAGAGAGAGAGAGAGGAGCATTTCACAGAAACAACAGTCAATTTCATTCAATTACAGAATTTCTTCTTACCTCCCTGCAATGTTTATTGTTTTCTTCCTAACGGAAGACTGAATTTGAGTTTTCTCTACAGGAAGTAAAATGGTTATGTTCGGCAACCTAACACCTGCACAAAATTTTAGAAGGCAATAATGACCAACATAGGTTAGTCATCAAGCTTTACAAAATAATAACACATTGATAATTATTATTTTCTTTGATTAGTCGACTTATTTTATAAATCAACAGGATTTTCTCCAAAAAGGAGAAACAACACGAGATCTTAGAATTAACACAACAAATGTGAAAAGAGAATTAATATAAAACAGAAGGATTTTCTATCTACATCTATTTGATAGTGAATTATGAAGCATTATCTTATATTATAATACTTGCATCCAAATGCATGACAGATTATAATGTTTCCACAAATCAATTCATGTAGAATATTTGCAAACAACAGGAGTAAGAAACCAATAAGAAACAATAAAATCTTCAAAAGTTACACAAAAGATACAAAGTATTATGGGGAAATTTGCCAAAGATTTTCCAAAACTTGACACATGACTGAAATTTGGGTCAAGTAAACATAAACTCATCAAATTTTAGTTCAGCCAAATCAGAACAGTTTATTGCCCCACGGGAAAAAACAACAGATTATAAAAAAATTCTCTATTTTCTGTGCACTCCTATTTCTGTAAGCTGTACATTATTATATTAAGATTCATATCTAGTTGAGCAGTCCCATCACACTTGCAAACAATGGAAAAAATAAATATTTTACTTACAGTTTTCAAGAAAACATGTGGTGTGGATAAGAAAACACATTCTAATCTGAAAAGATCAGAAGAAAACTAACTTGCAATTCTAAGACTCTTTATCAAGATTCCTACAATATTACTAATTGTTATCACAGAATTATTCAGCAAGAAGATCATAATTAGGAGATCCAACTGCAAAAATTTTAAGATTAACATGAATGTTCAAAAACTTGAAAAGGTAGGAGGTCTATGCTACAATATAGAATCCACCATTTATTAGTGCTATTTTTGTAGTTGTCAAAGAAAAGCCTATCTATGAAGTAGAGGTTACAACATGAGTTAACATAATTAAAGTTCTGCCAATTTCACCACCAGTCACAGTAACAACCAAATTCTATGCAAGTCTGAGCAAACCTATAACTGAAAGGGAATGACTAAAGAGGCGCATGCAGGTGATGTTTGCCCCTCTAGTCTTGAGTTGAAAACTAACCAAAGAATATAAACATTGGAGTAAATAGTATTACCAGCAGCAAGACGATGCTTGAGACCCTTCAAAACTGTCAAGAAGTATACCTGATCAGTTTTTTACAAGGTATCAGTTAACATATCTAAACTGCAGTATCATGTACCTTACTTTGTGTGTGCGCGTGTATCTGTGTATGTGAATGTGTGTGTGTCTCAGAGAGAGAGAGAGAGGATACAGTGACTTAGATTATTGAGCATCATTTTTGTGATATATGAGCCCCTGCTACGTAGCTAAATTCAAGTCTTATAACAATTTCATCAAAGATAAATTAAAAATCTAATATCAGGAAGAAATTCTGTCACATTTGTAACAACCGTAGCCGAAACTGCCATAACACTAAGAAAAACAAGCTACCTCCGCAGAGTAAGTCTGCAACTTCCTTGCATCAACAACGATTGGACTTGCTTTAAGAGATACACATGGGACAATTCCAAGTGAAGCAGCTTCCTGCGATCCAGTAATGATCTTCAGATGATCTCACCAGTCTCCATTGATTTTAAGAAAAGCACAAGTTCAGAAAAGATAAAGAATTAATTTGTTTTCTACAGACCTCAAGCAATGAAAAAGCACGTGGATCGTATTCTCCAAATCCATCAACAAGGGAGAAGAGATTCGAGCCTCTTGATGTATCGATACTGACTTGGAGATGCTCGGTAAGTCTACTTCTCAAGGATGCATCGTAAGGGAGCTTCAGGCATCCCAAAACTTGTGAACATTCTTCCATTGTAGGCACCACACCAGCTACAATTGTTTCCCTGTAGACCATTAAGGCCAATGATGTCCTGCAGAGAATTTATTGATCACATAACAAATTGTTAGACATTTAATGCATGATACTGAAGATGAATTATCAATGCTTAAAAGAAAAACTAAAATAGGAAGCATGGATAACACGGGTATGGGTTTTCGTCCTACATACAGTTTAAGAAATGGTTTCTAACTTGTCATGATTTCTTATTGGATGATATGGCATAACAACAAAGTAACAGTAATAGGAGCATTTGAAACATTGAATTGGATCAGCTTCAGCAACCATTTCTAACTTAATAATCGTCATAAAGACAGTTTCGTCCAACATTCACCCCAACAACACACAAATTGTTAAGGTGAAAGTTGTTCTGTGCACATTTTATTACTGTGTCCAGGGTTATAAGTTCGATAAATCCTCAAGGAAAAAAAACAGGCTAAAAGATCTGTTTCTCAAGGATCTACACCAGACTGAAGCAATGATCTAAAAATTTTACGCCATTGGAAAATAGTTGAGCAGCTTCATAGCAATTTGTAACTTGTAAGATTTCACTAAATTAAGGGATAACAAAGTTCCCAGCACTAAAAAATAACAAAACTCCAATTTAAATAGAGAAAATTAGCTACAACTTCTTAGAAATTCTGGTAGAAGTTACTAGGAACAAATATATATGCCTAAAGTTACTCTCTAAGAATGCTGCAATACTTATAAACTTCTTGGGAAAAAAATTGGAAAAAGATTTAACTCGAGAAATCATTCTATAAAGGAACTTCCAATCAAAGAAACAAAGAAGGTGTCTCCGGATTGGGGCAACTTCAGAGAATTATTTCTTCATCTTTAACACCCTTTTTTTAACTATATCATTGAGAGTTATGAGAAGAAACAAGATGTTAACAAAAACTATTCTTAAATTCATTAATTGTTTTTGTTCTTTTGAATAATTTAACATGGCTTAGAAATTAATAGGAGAAAAACTCAACACAATATGTTCTTAACAGAACTAGTAAACAATCATGTCTCTGGATTTCTCAAAATGATGAATATCTGCCAGGAAAATTTTTAAAGTTAAAAGCAGCATATACCATTTGCTGTCAATTTGCGGACGTCCAGAGTTGAAAGACAATACAGGCTCACCAAGCATACAAGCCTTCTCGAATCTCCGTAGGCACATGGCTTCAATCAGATCATATTAAAGGATAATCAAATCGAAGCTCATAAAAGAACAAAGAATTAGTATATACAACAATAATATTTCAATCCAAAACATGAATGAGTTTGAGCTAGGAAGCAACAATACAACGAGCAATTTTTATGGACCTCCGGTAAGTAATGCTATTGGATCAAAGCCATAAAAAATTGTTTAACATAAAATGCCAAAAAAATTTATCCAACTCGTAAGGAGTTAGTATCCATCTGGGACTCTAAGATTGACAAGCATTTTATTATTACTATACTTTTACTCTTTTAAAGAGAACTATCGGATCAGCTGCATTGAACATGTGCCCAAGAAAGAATAAGGTGATCTAGTTAACTTATTATATGTTCATCAGGTATAAATTCATTCCTGGAGTCAACATTTAGTGATAAGTATTTTTTGATAAATAAGACAGAGGAATCTAAATGCATGCCAGAGGCGTGCAACCTGGGTACACAAAAAATACAAAGAGTCGAAACCAGAGACAAACAAGAACTCTAAATACTTAAGTCACTAATAAGAAATAAATAAATAAAACGTCCATGTACAACTAAGCTTAAATTATCAATCTTCATAATTTTCCCTGGTGCACCTGTGTTCTGGCAAAGATTCAAAGGACACCCAAGAAGCCATTTTTGTAAACCAAACGACTTTCATGAAGAACCAACATCCCCATTTCATTTTACATCATATAATAAATAGCATTCCAAACAATCAGATAGAAGATAGAGCTCAATTTCATCAGCAATGCAAGAGGATTCAGATTATGCCGTTTAATGACTCAACTGAACTTAACATCACCTTCTTCCCAACTATTTTGGTGTCTAAAAAATGGGATCAAAATACGAGGGAAATTCTTCTATTCCCCAGGGTGCTGCAATAGGAGTATCCTCAATTGAAACAAATCAAGGCATGAAGACCTTGTGCATTTAATTTCCATCTTAAAACCTTGCAATTCTTTGATTCATGAAGGTAATGAAAGTATGTGATTAGGTTATCTATAACATTTGAAGGGGTTGAAATATCTGCATTATTATTATTTTTTTTTTATTGGCTTTTTTCAGCCTTTTATTAGGTGTTTTATGTAAGATCCCTATTATCATGGGGTCACGTAGATTTTGGCATATTTCTTGTTTTTCTTTGATTTAGTTTCCTTTCTTTGTACCCTATTCTTGTATATAAATTAGCTCTTGGCTCTCGGTTTGAGTAAGCCAAAACCCAAAACAACATCTTTTTGGTATCAGAACAAAACAAAAACCTTCGCCTCCCCATCTTCCTCCCCAATGCCGCCACCTTCTCTCTCCCTCTCTCAATTTTCCCTCACCTCTGGCGCACCTCCACCTCCTCCCAGCCCTTGCGCCAGACCCCTCGGTAACTCTCTGTTTTTGACTCCTTTTTTAGGAGAATTCCCTTGGGTTTTTTATGACCTAAGGGTCCTTTTGGTGTTTTATTTTCCCTGTGGGTTGCCGGTGTTTGTTCGGCAGCACATTTGGAGGAAAGCGCCGATTTTTCCGGCATTGTTTTTTTCTCTTTCCTCTTGGTTTGACATGTGGACCAACCTTATTTTGGTACTATGACTGATTATAGTAGCCAAAAGGACACTTTATCCTCAGTCTAGTATATTTTATCTTTGGCACAGCAGGTTACTAGTGTGGTCTTGAATGGGCGCAACTTCGTATCTTGGTCCCGTTCTCTTTAACTCTATATTGGAGGGATAGGGAAAACTGGTTGGCTTTTGGGTCTAGTCAAGAAACCAGAAAAGACGGATACTAAATATATTGCATGGGACATAGACAGGTGCACCATTCTGGGTTGGATCTTCAACTTAATAGAGGAGCATATCTATAATATGTTCATATTTCAGACTTCCGTTTTTCATCTTTGGCAAGCCCTTAACAAGATGTATGTTCATTCCCGCAATGACGCTCATATCTTTGAACTCTATTAGGAGATTGTTCATGCATCTCAGGAGACACTCAAGTTGTCAATATCAGAGTATTTTGGGTACCTCCAGTCTAAGTGGGAAGAATTAGCATAGTATGAATCTCTCTCCGATTTCTCTAAAGAAGCTGTAACTCTTTTGGTAGCATACCTACCAGTTTTTGATAGGTTTACGATCCGAGTATAATGCTCCTAGACTCCAGTTGATCAGATGGCTCTTGCTGCTAATTCTAGATTTCAGAGAGAGAGTTTATTTGTCAACATTGTGGAGCCACGGGTCATGTAAAGGAACGTTGCTTTAAGCTTAATCCCGATCTAAAGCAAAAAATTTCTCGCAATCGTCCTTCTGGCAGTGGTCGCACTGCTGCAGTAGCCCATACTATTGGTGGGTATGCTACTCCACAGATTGTTGTCCCTCCTGCTTCAACTCCTCCCAGACCATCTTTTCAGGACTTCAATCAGTTACAATCCCAGATTGGTCAGCTGCAGGAGCAGTTTAGAGCTTTGTCTACCAGGGTTGGCTCTTCTATTCCCACGGCTACTATAGCTATAGGTACTCCTGTTTTTCATGTTAAAGCGGAAAAACCTACTTGGGTTCTAGATTCCAAAGCCAATGATCACATAACTGGTGAGTTATCATATTTTCTACTCCCGTTACCCCTGTTAATTAAGCTGTTAGTCTAGCCGATGGGTCAACCACCATTATTCGTAGTAAAAGAGATGTTCATCTATTCCCTGATATTATTTTGTCATCTATTCTTCATGTTCCTAACTTTACATTTAATCTTCTATCTGTTAACAAACTTGCCAAATTACTAAACTATGTAGTGATTTTATTTCCTCATTACTATGTTTTACAGAACCTGTGTTCGACGAGGATTTTTGGCAGGGGATGTGAGCACGATGGCCTCTACTACTTTAGGGATCCTCCACCGACACCTCCTCCACTTGCTTCAAGCCTTCAAGACTCTGTTCTTTAAATTTATGGTATGCTCGCCTTGGGCATGTAAACTTTCAGTATTTATGTCTGCTTTTCCCTTCATTAATAACTGCTTGTAAGGATAATAAGTTTCAATGTGAGATTTTTGAGCTTTCTAAATACACTAGAACCAGTTATATTTCTTATATGCATTGTGCACCTAGTATGTTTGAAATCATACATTCTGATGTGCGGGGTCCTTCTCCTGTTACTGCTTTTTCGAGGCATTGTTTTAATGTCACATTCATTGATGATTATTCCCGCTGCACATAGGTATATTTACTTTAAAAGAAATCTGAAGTTTTTTCCTTGTTCACTTAATTCCTCCAAGTGATCAAAACTCAATATAAAACTGTTGTTAGGAATATTAAGTCTGACAATGGTCGTGAATATGTTTCCAATGAGTTTCGGTCTTAACTTAACAAACATGGTATTCTTCATCAACTTACTTGTCCATATACCCCTAAACAGAATGGTGTGGCAGAGCGTAAAAACCGCGAACTAATATCAGTTGTTCAACGTCTTTAAGTGGTATGAATGTGCCAAAGTCATTCTGACACATGGTGGTTCTTATAGCTACTTTTCTCATTAATCGTACCCCTAGTAGAGTATTAAATGGTAAGGCCCCCTTACAAGTGCTTCGGCCTGATATTACTCTTTTTTCCATTATGCCTCGGGTGTTTGGATGTACATGTTTTGTTCAGAATCGTAGCCCTTCTCATACTAAACTTGATGACAAGGCCATTGAATGCATTTTTTTAGGATACTCTTCAATGTCAAAAGGTTACCGGTATTATGATCCTGTACACAAACACATGTATCACTCTCTTGATGTCACCTTTCATAAGCATACCCCTTTTTATGGTTCTAACACTATCTTACAGGAAAATTCTACACTCGATCAAGAGGCCTCTCCTCTAGATCAAGAGGCACCTCCTCTTGCTCGTCCTCTTCCTATTTTCCAAGAAGAGTCTTCTCTTGTGGTTTCCTCACCCACTTTGCAGGTCTATTCTTGCCGCCCTCGTGCTCCGCCTCCACTGCCTTCATCCTCTTCAGATACAGGTTCAGGTACATCTCCTCTCTCTCCTTTACATTTCCTTGACCCTATTCCTAAGTCTCGGTATCTCAATCAGGACCGCAAACCCCCTGCTCAATTTAGATTCGCTTGTAGTACTGATCATCCTATTTTGTAGTGTATCTCTTATGATGTTCTTTCAGGCTCTTACCGACCCTTTCTAGGAAAACTTAATTCCATTTCCATTCTCAGAAATATCTCTAAGGCTTTCCTGGTAAAGACTTTAATGATACCTTCGCTTCAATGGCTAAATTGACCTCAGTTCATTTGCTTGTCTCCCTAGCTGCCTCTCACTATTGAACTCAATGCTTTCCTTAACAGTGATCTTCTTGAGACTATTTATATGGATCCTCCACCCGGTTTTCGAGCTAAGGGGGAGTATGCTGGAAAGGTCTGTCGATTGCGAAAGTCTTTGTATAGGTTAAAACAATCTCCCAGAGCTTGGTTCAGCCGGTTCAGTAATGTAATTTTATCCATAGCGTTTGTTAGATTTCATTCTAACCATACATGTTTTATCCACCGTTCCTCTACTGGTCGATGTATCATTCTTCTTGTCTATGTTGATGATATCATCATTACTGGCAATGACATCCCTGTGATTGCTCAAGTAAAGCTTCAATTGGCTAAAGCTTTTGATGTGAAAGACCTTAGGCAACTCGGGAATTGAGGTTGCTAGATCTAAGTAAGGTATCTCTTTATCGCAAAGGAAGTATGCCTTGGATCTTCTTCGAGACACAGGTATGCTTGGGTGTAAACCTGCTTCCACTCCTATGGATCCTAATATGAAGATCTCGGCCGAGTCTTTCTAATCCCTCGCAGTATCAGCACTTGGTAAGAAGATTGATTTATCTTACCAACACCTGTCCTAATTTGGCTTTTGTTGTTAGTGTTGTGAGTTAGTTTATGCATGCTCCTCGTACAGCTTATATGGATGCGATATATCAAATTCTTCGATATCTTAAGTCCTGTCCTAGACTTGGATTATCCTATTCTTCTAACAGGCAGGTTGGGCTATCATGTTTTAGTGATGTAGATTATGCTGGGTCTAAGAGTAACAGACGTTCCACATCTAGCTTTTGTACTTTCAATGGAGATTATCTTATATCCTGGAAAAGTAAGAAGCAACCTGCAATTTCGAGATCTTCAGCAGAGGCTGAGTATCGTGCCATGGCCCAGGTTACTTGTGAGATTCTCTAGCTTCGATCTTTCTTGGAGGAACTAGGGCTAAGTGAAAAACAGTCCTCGGACTTGTTTTATGATAATAAGTCAGCCATCATGCTTGTTTCAGATTCTATTCTTCATGAGAGGACTAAACATATAGAGGTGGACATTCATTTTATCATAGAGAAGGTTCGTTCGGGAATTATCAAGCCGTGCTTTGTTCGGTCCTCTAATCAGTCGACAGATGTGTTCACCAAATCCGTTGGTCCATCTTTGCTTCATTCCTTGATAACCAAGCTGGGCTTGATTAATATCTTCACTACAACTTGAGAGGGAGTGTTGAAATATCAGCATTATTATTATTATTATTATTTTTATTAGCTGTTTTCAGGCTTTTATTAGGTGTTTTATGTAAGATCCCTATTATCATGGATCACGTAGATAAGATCCCCATAATCATGGGATCACGTAGATTTTGGCATATTTCCTGTTTTTATTTGATTTGGTTTCCTTTCTTTGTACCCTATTCTTGTATATAAATATAGCTCTTGGCTCTAGGTTTGAGTAAGTCAAAACCCAAAACTTCTTCTTTTGAACGCAAAACATTATCTTAAAAGGTGATTGACTACAAAGTAGAATGCAATCCTTTTTTTAAAACTAAAGTTATAGCCAAAACAGAGGTAAAAAACACATGATGTCCTTCCTTGAAACTTGATCCTAATATATTAATAGCAACAGACCGATGGAAAATGAAAATATGCTCATTTAGAAAGCCCCACTTTTCCTACAGGTACTTCTCGACCTTCTGCTTTGGGAGGTGAGGAAGTAACACTATCTATTTAAAAGAACCCACTTTGCCCCTACGGGTACTTAAACCCTAAACCTTTTACTTTGGGAGGTGACGAGGTACCACAAGGCTACAACACCTTGGTGGTGTGTTTAACACAACTGAACCGTGAGATTTCAGTAAGGTGTCCAAAGACTCCAAACACCTTCCATTCATAGAGGAAAAAAAGAACATGCACAAACACAAACAACTTGAGAATAAGTCATCAACCACATTGATCTTACCAATTAGACACCTGCACATAATAAGGTTAGGGGCAGCACCATCCTTTTTGGCTTGAGAAAAGAGCATCATGCCGACTTCTAGATCGTCCTTTCTACAAAAAAAAAAAAAAAAAGAAAAGAAATACAATGTAATTTAGAAAAGAAAATTTGTAAGGCAAACATATATATCAATACTGCTTGTCAAAGACAATATATAAAGACAGGAGCAATTACTTTTCACTTGCCACAAATAGAATGGAGTATGTGATGGTATTGGGGCACAAGCCCATCCTCTTCATTTCAGATAAAACATCCACAGCCTTCTGCAGTTGTTCCCCATCACCTGTAGTGAAGTTTTCTTATATAGATTTTTTCTACATGCAATTCCAATTTGACAAAGCAAACCAATATAAGATTGCTTTAAATGCCACACCAGTGCTTCAGTACTTTACCTCCTGAAAATAATTAATTTGGCAGCATTTTGTTCAAATATCAAATTCCACCCCTTATAGTATATAAATTATATCTTATAACACTAGCTGCATTTGATATTTTAAAAAGTAACTTAGGGCCATCACACAGCACACAAAGCAAAATCCAGAAATGGACATTTTCAGGAGTTAGCTTCCCTCCTGCCATGGCATCCAAAGGGGTGGAGTTTATAACATTGATTACTGCTTCAATTGTATCACTTTCTTCAATCAAATGAAGTAACTACTAAAATATAACTAGTATATCACTGTTTTAAATTGCAAGATATGCATGTTTAGTAAGAAGATGGAACAAATAAAAGGACTCAAAAAAGTGCATCTGCTGAAGGTACGTTCTGCCTTTATATAGTAAAGATTATGATGTAGTAATGTGATGCCAAAGGGAGAAAAAACATTTGCTGAAAGTTTTGGTGAGGCTTACGGACAGTGACACTACCATTCACTAATTTATGGACAAATATAAACACAAAACTGAGTTACCTTTAGGTGCACAGCCACAGCTGAAGTACCAAACTTGAAAGGTCCCCATGGACAATAAACACCTTTCAGCACTATTGACACCATCAAATTTATTGTAAACACATTATGTAGTGTATCTTTAAAATTAGGTTTACTGTCTAGGTGGCTCTAATCACTATCAAGGAAAAATCTAATTACAAATAAAATAACCAAATTGCAATGAAACAATTTTTAAATCCTTAATTTCGACCATGTATATACAAATATAGCTGCTATTGAAAAACCGGCATTTCAAATCAGTTCAGCAATTCATGTCATGTTAAATTTGTACCCTTTATGGTTTCTTTTCACACCTAATAAATAAAAAACCAAAAAAAAGACAAAAAAGAAAGACAGCAGATAGGAGGCTTCCCACTTTAAAAGCTGGAAATTAATCTAAATTCCTTTCTCCTCAAAACTCTTCATGTCATCCATCAAAAAAGTTGAAATACATAAACTAATGCTAGGCCGGGAAATTATAAGCTACAGAATTTTGGAAGAAAATGTAAGCCTACTTATGCTCAATATATTGGGTTACACTGAGACAAGATGTATAAAGAAATAGAACTTACACAAGGCAGTAATTAAGGCATTCATTGTAGAAACGGTTGGTTTCAACTTAATGGATTTAATATCCTCATATAGCTCCAGTGCCTTCTGCCAATTGTTTGCCTGAAAAATCATCAGACAATTCCATCACTGTTGAACCATATCATGCAGCATAAGAATAGTGTAACTAATTCATATTTCATTTAAACGATTAAGTGCGTGCATAAAAAGTCTTTGAAGAAAATTACACATGAACTTATATACCTTGCCCAGAAGTCAGGCAAGAGAACAGAAGAAATGCAAAAAAAAAAAAAAAAAAAAGGATAGAATTGTGTAAAGGCTTAAATGAGATAAATCACTCATTCACAGCTCTAGTATTTATCGATAAAAAGAGCACATGTTCATATTACAAAAAAGGAAATTAAATCAAATCTAAATCAAATCACAGCATATTCTATGCCATTATTTGTGGCTATCAAATCTCCGCTAATATGGTAAGTCATTCCATCAATCGTGGCTAACATATCTGTTAACACTCCCCCTCAAGTTGGTGCGTGGATATTTGAAACGCCCAACTTGGACAATGCATTCTCAAACACAATCTGGTTAACGCCCTTTGTAAGAATGCAGGCTGAGGAGTGCAAAATCAACAATTTCTCCTCGATCCATAAACAACCAACCATGTCTCCCTAGACCGTAAACAACCAACAATGTCTCCTCAGACCATTCCCTTCCTATACATGTTTAAAATATGTAGATAGAAGAATCAATAATGTCTCATCAGACCATTCTCCTTCATACATATGTTTAAACAATGTAGATAAAAGAATCAACAATGTCTCCTCAGACCATAAAAAAATAAAATAATAATAAAAAAAAAAAAACAACCATGTTTCCTCAAACCATTTCTAAATGGGTGGTGCCGAACTTGTAATGCCCTCATTGCAGTTGGACCACCCTGGCTCTGATACCAAGAAGAAATGGAAAAGAAATATAAAAAGAAGAATAAATGAGAAAATTGTATAAAGGCTTGAATGAGATAAATCACTCATTCACAGCTCTAGTATTTATAGATAAAAAGAGTACATGTTCATATTACAAGAAAGGAAATTAAATCAAATCTAAATCAAATCAAGCATATTCTATGCCACTATTCGTGGCTATCAAATCTCCGCTAATATGGTAAGTCATTCCATAAATCGTGGCTATCATATCTGCTAACGGAACAGTGTCTCAACCACATAATCCAGACCAGGGTTTGGAAAATGGTAAGGATCAATAGCTTGACAACAAATAAAAAAATTATATATATATATATAACTAAATAAATTAATAAGAGTTTGGACCTAAACCAGGACGATAGGTGTATTGTATACAACCCCATTTTGTACCACCCTCTTTCAAAAACATGCAAAAATCACACTAAGAAACAATCAACTACTTGTCATCCTATCACATGTCACGCCCTCCCTTTCAGCAATTCATCTAGTCCCATAATGAGCTCGGGTCAATGGGAAAAAGCCTAAACAAATGGTCCTGTTAACTGCATGAGTAACAAATTTGGCCACACTTTTCATACCCTATAAAGGTCGAATCCAGAAAGCAAAACAGCCCTGAAGCCAACTCTCCCACCAAAAACTGGAATTCAAGTTAACCACCAGTCCTGCAATTGACTCCCTAGTTTCAGAATTTGAGCCCATATTTTAAGACTTGTAAGTATCCAAAATGTAAACTAAAGCCAATTCCAAATTCTCCCTTCTATCCTCTAAAAAATTGTCTCCAAGTTAACTACAGGTCCCATCATAGAATTTCCTGTTTTGAACTTGAATCTCCATTTACAAACTTAGATCCAAATCAAAATCTGAGGCAATTCGGACTAGCTCCCTCATCCTCTAGAAAACAGTGTCCAAATCGTCTACTGATACTAATGTTAACTTTGTTGTTTCAGATTTTGACAGCATATTTGAAAATATGGGAAGATTCTAATACAAACTAAAGGCCAACTCCAAACTAGTTCCTTCTCCCTTTACAAAATAGCATTCAATTCAACTGCAAGTCCCACTACTGCTTTCTAGTTTCAAACATTGACCTCCCGTTTTAGAATTTGAAAAGATCCAAATCAAAAACAAAAACCAGTTTTTATGCCACCTATTTATATAGATGTCGAGTACATTATCAGAGTAAGGAAGAAAGAAATATTCCTCTCAATAGTTTTCTGTTTTTTATGGTTTCAGAGCAGGGACTTAATCTCTGACTCTTCCCAAAACCCTAGAACCTGTTAGCCGTCCTTCACCATGTCGGAAACTACATCCGGATCCACCACTTCCAAAACAACCACGGAAACCCATGCCCTTAACTCTGATTCTCACTCTGTCCAAATCACCAACATGAAACTGAATGGTGATAATTTTCTGCAATGGTCTCAATCTGTCCGAAAGTACATTTGGATTTGGGAAATCAATCCCAAATATATGAATTGACAATAAAACTTGGAGGAATTCGTCAAGGAGAGGACAGTGTGACCAAGTATTTCAATTCTCTAAAGAGGTTGTGGCAAGATCTGGACCTGTTCAATGACTATGAGTGGAAATCACCAGACGACTGCAATCACATTAACAAGGTGGTGGAAGACCATCGAATCTACAAGTTCTTGGCCGGATTAAACATTGAATTTGATGAAGTCAGGGGGAGAATAATTGGTCGCCAACCTCTGCCTTCTATCGGTGAAGTCTTTGCCGAAGTTAGCAGGGAAGAAAGTCGCAGGAACATTATACTTGGAAAAAAGGGAGCTGTTGCACCTGTCAAAAACTCAGCCATGATTGCATCAGATGCAAGTGCAAATAAGGCCTTTACCAATAATCAAGTAAGGCAGAATGAAAAGCCTTTGGTGTGGTGTGACTACTGCAATAAACCACGCTATACCCGAGATAACTGCTGGAAGATCCATGGAAAGCCTGCAAATTGGAAGAGCAGCATGCCGAGTGACAAACAAACTCATGCATCGTCCTATGCAAATGAAGCTGAGACGAGTCCATTCGGTAAAGAGCAGATGGATCATCTTCTTAAACTGCTAAAGTCCAATTCTTTATCCGGTACTCCTAGTGGTTCTCTTGCACAAACAGGTAGCAATCCTAATGATCTATCATGTAGTCAAAATCCTGCCCCTTGGATCATTGATTCAGGGGCATCTGATCACATGACCTCTTCTTATTTATTCAATACTAATTTATCCTGTTCTGGAAGCGAAAGAGTTAGGATTGCCGATGGCAGTTTCTCACCTATTGCAGGAAAAGGTCAAATAAAAATTTCAGCAAATATAACTCTTAAATATGTCCTTCATGTTCCTAAACTGAACTGCAATTTGTTATCTGCCAGTAAATTATCCAGAGACACTAACTGTCGTGTTGTTTTCTTTGACTCTTATTGTGAATTTCAGGACCGGAACTTGGGGAAGATGATTGGCAGTGCTAGAATGGTCAATGGTCTTTACTATTTTAATGATAATCTCTTCGGTACTAAAACAGCTCAAGGTCATAGTAGTAGTATTAGTTCAATTTCTGCTCGTGAACAAATAATGCTTTGGCATCTTAGACTGGGACATCCTAGTTTTCCGTATCTTAAACATTCGTTTCCTGATTTGTTTAAAAATTTGGGGGGTTCTTCATTTCAATGTGAAAGTTGTTATTTATCTAAAAGTCATTAAGCTACTTATCCAGCAAAACCATACCATACTTCTAAACCATTCTATTTGATTCATAGTGATGTGTGGGGTCCTCTCAAGGTCGCTAACATGACTGGTAAAAAATAGTTTGTGACTTTTATAGATGATCACACTCGACTCTACTGGGTTTATTTGATGAACGACAAATCTGAAGTAAAAAATAAGTTTCAAGACTTTTACAAAATGGTTGAAAATCAATTTCAATCAAAAATCAGTTTATTTCATTTTGATAATGGAAAAAGAGTATTTCAATGAATATCTAGGGGATTTTTTTAAGGAAAAAGGTAGTTTGCATCAATCCACCTGTCGTGACACTCACGGCATTGCCGAAAGGAAAAATAAATATTTACTTGAAGTGGCCCGTGCCATAATGTTTTCTATGCACGTTCCAAAATATTTATGGGGAGATGCAATTTTGATAGCATCCTATTAAATTAACAAAATGCCTACACGTGTTTTGCAATATGTCACAACTCTAGATTATTTCAAAAAACCCTTTCCTGAATGCAGAATTAATTCAGATTTGCCATTAAAAAATTTTGGATGCACTGTTTTTGTTCATATCAGCAAATTTCGATCTAAACTTGATCCGAGAGCAAAGAAGTGTGTTTTCATAGGATATGCCCCAAACAAAAGAGGATACAAGTGCTATAATCCACAAACAAAGAAAATTCTTGTGAGTATGGATGTCTCCTTTCTAGAAAATCAATCTTATTTTGCCAAAAATTGTCTTCAGGGGGAGATAGAGAGAAAAGAAGAAAATTTTTGGGAGACAACTTCGGATCCCTTACCATATCGTATTCTCTCGTCTCCTTCCCTTGTCTTTGAAAAACAAACACAAAAATAGGGTGTTCAAGATATGGAAAACGAAGGAAATCCGAGCCGATTTTTTCCAAACATAGATGGCTCGCAAGCAGGGGGAGAAATACTACAAAAGGAACAAATTGTTCCAGAACCTGAGTTTTTGGTTTATGCTCAGAAAAGGACTCAACAAATGAGTAAAGACCTGCCAACCATTCTGCCACAAAGTCAATCAGAATCTCTGGAGAAACGTCCCTCGAGCAGCTCAGGTAATACTAATCCTAATCTTTTACCTAGTGCTATACCCACATATTGTGATCTCCCTATAACCATTAGGAAAGGAATCCGAAAGTGTACCCAACATCGCATTGCCAAATATTTATCCAATGATAAACTTTCCAATGGTCATAGAGCATTTACTTCTAAAATATCTAACCTGTTTGTTCGAAGAACTATTAAGGAAGCCTTAGGTGAACCGAATTGGAAGTTAGCAGTTATGGAAGAGTTGAATGCTCTGGAAAGGAATGGTACTTGGAAGTTAGTGAACCTACCTGAGGACAAGAAGACCGTAGGGTGCAAATGGGTATTTACGGCGAAATGC